TCTTCGGATTCCTCCTCTTCATCTTTCACAAGCTATTTTCTTCTACAATAAATGTCTTGCACATAATTACAAACAATCAGCTGCTGTGGCATCTGCTTCTCAGAGTGTTTCATCTGACATAGATTTGGGGGGGGGGAATATCAATAATTTGGTATCAGATGTGCTCATCATGAAGTATTATTAGATGCTCAGGTGTAGCCATTGAATAGGCAGTTAAGCACATAAATCTGAAGATGCAAGAAGACGAGAGGCCTATCCTGGAGACAGGAATTTGGGAGTTGACCAAGTATCAGTGGTACATAAGCAATGAAACAGGATGAGTTGACCAAGATAATGATGGAAATAGAGAGAAGGACAGGCCTGAGGATTAAGCCCAGACTGACCCTCTCAACCAGAAAAGGTGAATGAGCGATGAGGTAGGAGGGAAATCAGGAGTGTGATAGGCTGGCAGTCAAGAGCAGAAAGTTTTTCAATTATGGTGAAGTCTTAATTAACCTTGTAAATGTTGTTGATGGACCAAGCAATATGAAGTCTGAGTATCAACAACTGGATTTAGCAATTACAGAGGTAATTGCTGACCTTAAGAACAAAGCTATAGCGGAGAAGTATGGTGGGAGATGGATTTCAGTGGATTATCAAGAAAGAATTGGAGGGGAGAGTGATACTGTATAGAAATGAAGAAAATTGTATAGAGAAAGCTCTTAAGTAGTTTTGCCATAAAGGAAAGCAGGGTGTTGGGTGTTTTTATTCATTTGTTTGCTTTTGTTTTGTTTCTAAGATTAAAAAAATGAAACTATGTTTTCTATCTTGATAGGGACGATCCAGTAAGGAGGGGGAAAAGAGATTGTACAGAAGGAAGAGGGGAAAGGCATTCTGAAGCCATGTCCCTGAGTTTCAGAGAAGGGTGGACAGTTCAACTCTTATAATAGAAGGAAAGGCAGATTGAATAGGCACAGATGGAGGTAGGTGGATAAATGTGGGTGCTGGCCCTTGTGGAAAAATCTCTTCTAACTGATTCTATTTTCTGAGTGAAAGTGGAATCAAAGGGAGGTGTGAGAGGTTTATATTTATCTAGAGAGAGTGAATAACTTCAGGAATTGCAGTATGATTGCCTTGCGGTGTTAAGAACCCATTTGGGGTTTAGGCATGAATGTAAAATGAGAGCAGTCAGCACACGTTGGTTTTTTTTCTGTCTTCATGATCAACTCTGCAGGGACAGCAGAAATAGGCAATGGGTTGGAATTAATTAGGGTTTGGATTTTACCAGTTGAATACTGAGGGAAGACAGGGGCAATGGAGTTGAGGTGGTCAGCAAGGGAGTGATTTTAATACAAGGCAAGAGAAGGGATGAAGATGGTGAGCATCCAGGTTACCCAGCATCCCTAAAGACATAAGCAAGTGCCATTGGAGTTTGTGAGTAAAATTCTCCTTAAGTGACATTTTTATTAATGTATCAGCATGGCTCAGAGACAGGTTTGGGAGTGGGGGTGCTTTTGCGAAGGAAAATCACCAAAGGAAGCACTAGACACATCATTTGCCAAAGGATAGCATCCTGGACAAAACCGAAGGACCGATAAGGCAGAGATATTAATGGCTCATATTTCAAAAGAGCAGGCTTTTCATGTTAACAGAATGTATCAGTGGAAATATTTGTCAAAGCAGTAAGCTTACTCAGTGATAATGTTTTACTCAGATAACTTGGGCCAACATGTATATCTTCTGCAAGAACTAGTCAAAAGATTTTAATGAGAACAAAAATTGCACATTGAAACACAGCACTGAGATTTCTTTGTGCATTTAATACATTATGCCTTATACTAATTTGCATTAAAATGATAAATGCAACTATTCCTTGTATTAATATATATAAAAAAAAATCCCAGTAAAACATGAACTTGAGGCCACTTCTACCATACATACCTCAGTAATTTCTTAAAATTGCTCCTTTAGGTACTCAAACATTACTTCTATGCACTCAAATGTTTTTAACTGCTGCTGCTGCTGCTGCTGCAGTCACTTCAGTTGTGTCCGACTCTTAGCGACCCCATGGACTGCAGCCTACCAGGCTCCTCCGTCCATGGGATTCTCCAGGCAAGAATACTGGAGTGGGTTGCCATCTCCTTCTCCTGTTTTTAACTAGTGTTCTTTAAATAGCCTATAGCCAAATTATTTATATGTCCAAACAAATTAAATATTGTTCTATAGCAATTATTCTTAGACTTTTGACAAATATCAAATTTTAAAAATATTAGAATATAAAATTACAGTTCTTGCCTTGATTTGTTACTTAAATTTGGTTTGCTTATATGTACAATTTATTGAATAAATACACCAATATTTTATATAACAGCAAAACTGACTAAGTAGTAATATTTTAAAATTTCTTTTGAAATGTCCACATCTCAACAAAATTTATACAGCTCACACACCATATTTCTGGAGAACATATTAGCATTTTCTGCATTAGGAAAAGTAGACATGTAATGCACTTTTTCTTTTTCTAGTTATTAATTATTCTAAAGATAATGTTTTTCTTGTGTAATTGTGGCTACATGGTGTGACAACTGTTCCTTAGATGTACCATGCCACCTTTGAGAATAAGCTGATATTTTTCTGAAGGCATATTGACTCTCTCTAGCCTTAAGACACTGGCTTACTTGCCCCTGAAGCGTGTTTCTGGGCGCAGTGTATATGGGAATAATGAAATCTGTCATCTACCTTCAAGGAGTACCATTTTCAGGGACCAGCAGGTTGGAACTCATTCCTGGTTCTGGCACTCTCCATGGGCTGTGTGAATTTGGGTAGGTCCCTTCATCTTTTTGTGCTTCGGCTTTGCGCTTCATCTGTGTTCCCCTCACAGTCTTGAATAGAATATTCAATGCAAGAGAATAGGACTTGATCTGGTTTAACAAAGAATCTCAAGTCCCAGCACATAAATGGATCCTGAATCAGTATTTGTTGGATGGATAAATATATAAATTATATAATTAGAAGAGTTTAGCAATAGTAATTATATAATAGGAATACCTTGAAAATACAGTGACAGAATACATGATGAGTACAGAGCACAGCCTGGATCTCTTCTTGGGGAGAGTTCTAGAATAAGTCAGGATGAGTTTGCTTCTGTGTCTATTTCCCCTTCAGATTGTGGATGGCATTTATATTAGGACAAGTGGCCCTGCGGTATGCTCTAGCACCTGGGAATTGTGTAAGAGGGAAAATATTTATTTTATTACTACTCATATATCTCTTAAATATTTCATAATATTTGGGAGAAGTGGAAACAAGCCAAATGGATTAAAGTATTTTAGCGTACAATTTAAAATTCATGCCATCAATGACAAGGTTTTTAGAGCTTAAGCATGCATATCAGAAACTAGAGGTAGTGTATATGATATTTCATTGATTTTAAGATGCGTATGTTAAAATTTTTACATATGCAAAATCTGGATACATTTTGCAATCAGTGGTATCTTACAATTAATTGGACTTTCTTTTGTTCTTTTTCCTGTCTTTTCTCTCTTTCTCTCTCTCTGTAGTTAATAATATAATAAGGTATCCTTAAATAGATTTAATGACATATTATACAGACATATATTAAATTTGTCTTTCTCAGTGTTTATTTCTTACCATAACTGAATCCTAGAAAGGACCTGTTAGGCATTTTTAAAAATTTCCCAGCCCATGGAATATTAATACCAAAGATATACACTATAATCTTTTTTGTGTATTGCATGGATATATGTGTTGTGTGAATAAAAACAGTAGGATTTTTTTGTCCCCCTCCAAGAAACAATTTTTGTCCCCTTGGGGACACTATTATATTCATTGAGATTGCAGGTATGAAAATAATACTCTATATTATTCTTAGTTTTTGAAATCTCATTTATAAGAACATTGGAAATCATAAACTAATTCCCAGGTTTAGAACTGTTGGCTTTAATTATATAACAAACTGACTAGGAATTTTATTTTATCCTGAAATACTGTCAAAATGCATGTAAAGTTGGAACATTTGCTATTTACCCCAATGGTCAGAAAGCTATGCACAATACTTTTTGTTAACAATTAAAAGCTTGTCAAATTCATCCAATGGTGTCATTCAACATAACATTCTCATATTATGAAATAAGATGATTTAATAATTTCAGTGTATATACATTTAAGATCCTCACCACTTCATCTTTACTTACAAAGTCACCATTTTGAAGACATAACTTGAACACTGAGTCAATAATGAGATATTTAAAGACCATCTAGTTTCCATGGAGTATAAAGAGGTATTGCCTTTATGCTCCACATGTGCACTCCACGGGAATGATGAGGAAGTGCGATTCTCAAAGCCTTTAGTTAGCACTCTTCTCCCACAGCCTAGGTAGCGTTTGGGTTCTACCTTCAAAACTAATGATGGAACACAGAGCTCACTCCGTTTAGGACCAATGTCTGCACCAGAGGAAAGACGGGCACTCAGTCTATGATCATCAAATCAGGGTTTTCTCTCGAAAAGCTAATTGTTATATTCAGCAGCTTTAACTGTTCAAGAGAGGAGTGATTTACTTACTTGGAGAGTATCTTTTTATAGCAAAATTGTCCACCATGATCTTCAATGTTCACTTATCTTTGCTCTGGGTTATGCCGTTTAATGTCCATCCTTTAAAATTAGAGGTGCAAAAGACTCTAAAAATTAGTGATAGGAAAACGTTTAACGTTCCTGTATGCATTGCACTACTATTTTATATTTGACAACTCCAACATGTGTCGATTGGCCTTGTTGCCTTGGGTTGTGTTAAATGGCTATTTTTGAGACTCAAGTGTGTCAGAACAATGTGCTGTTGTTTTGGGGGGATGTGGACTATTCTAGAGGACCAAGCAATGAGTCAACTAAAATGAACACAGGCAGGACTCAAAATAGACTCAGCGGCAGTGTACAGACATCCATATCAAGGCTTTATCAATCAAGTTAGTTTTACACAAGTTTTGTAAGTAAACTGAAAGTGAATTCAAAACCAGAAATCATCTCCTCCACTACTCCTAGTACTTGCTCTTTCTCTGCCTTTCAGTCGAAGCATCTCCATGATACTCCGGGCGTAGACATCTCTCAAGTTCACACTGATATATGAGTCAGTGGCTATATTCTTGGTAAGTTTCTTCAGAGCCTCACGCTGTCTAACAGCTGCTTCCTTGAGCTTCAAGGTGAAGTAGCAAGCGGAGAAGCGGTCGTTAATAATAGCAATGGGCAAGGCCAAGACAAGGATTCCCGATAAGATACACATGAAGGCCACAATCTTGCCCGTGGTGGTGTCTGGTCTGATGTCTCCATATCCCACGGTGGTCATGGACGTTGTGGCCCACCACCAGGCACAAGGGACACTTGTGAAGGTTGTGTCGGGGATGCTCTGCTCAGCAAAATATTCCACAGTTGAAAATATAGAGATTCCCACAGATAGAAACAGGAGCAGCAGGCCAACTTCTTCGTAACACTGGGTGATTGTCATTCCAAGGGAGCGTAAGCCTGTAATAGAACAGTTGGTGTCAGTCATGGACACCCCTTCTCCTTTCCTCTGCCCATTTCCTCTCCCTCTCCTTCCCTGCTATCCATTCCAAAACATGCATCGTTTGACATTTCCTATGGTTTTAGCATTGGGCAAAGTTGTAGGGGTACAGAGGTGATAAGTTACAATCTTCAGCAAGTTCTTAGTCTAGTTGATGGGGACTAACTATATATCAAATATAGTTAGATTCATCCACTCACTTATCTATTACACGTCCGTGTGTGCGTGCTAAGTGGCCTCAGTCACGTCCGACTCTGTGCAACCCTGTGGACTATATCCCGCCAGGCTCCTCTGTCCATGGGATTCTCTAGGCAAAAATACTGGAGGAGGTATTCTTGCCATGCCCTCCTCCAGGGGATCTTCCCAACCCAGGGATCGAACCTGCGTCTCTTAGGTCTCCTGCAGTGGCAGGCGGGTTCTTTATGACTAGTACCACCTGGGAAGCCCCTAGCTATTAGACACCTACTACTTATACAAAAAAGATGAGAGATGAGATGAAGGGCAGGCAGGGGACATTTGATAGCACTTTGTCGTTTATACAATGAGAGCCTCTACAAGGAAGGCTATTTTGGTCAGGTCTGCATTTCTATGCATCACCCTGCACACTATCCTAAGGCAGTTTTATGTTGTCTCCTTCTATTTTATGTGTCTGTTTTTCTCACTTTCCTGATAAAGTTTAACACAATTAGGGGCATCATAATCTGAAAGAGCCAGAAGAAGTAAAAGATGAGAATGAAGTGAAGCAGTAAAAACAAGTTAGGATTCAGGAACAAAATTCACATAAGAACATCAAATCTACGTGTGAGGACATTCTTAAAGGGGCAGCAGGAGGGGATCCAGTACTCCTCCATTTCAATGGCACCCATTGAAATATTTGTCCTTAATACTAAAGCTATAGCAAGAGGAGCCCATTACAGGATCGCTATTTGAATAAGGCATCTTCCCTAACACTAGAGATACTGATTAAAGTTAATCCACATTTTGAAGTCATATTAACATGATGTCACAATGATATTATCTCAAAAGTCCAAAGTATACCTCTTGGAATTAAGTTTAAATTTTTATTCACTAGAGACTATTTTAAATACATTAAAATACTATTTCTGCTCTGATTATTCTGAATTTTGTTCTTAGAATTTTGAGATGTTTTTGAATTATTAGCCAGCTATTTTAAAAGACCAATGAATATAATTTTGAGATTTAACTTTAAAAGGCATTTTAAACAATACCTTTAGAATACCTTTTAGAAAACTGGCCTTGATGTGTCTGTATTGAATTGGATTTCTGAAATTGAGAACATATGAAGAAATGCATAGTGTTTGGAAAGATTGTTTTCATTCCAATTTTCTAAGCAGTTCATTTTGAAAAGAAACAAAGTGGCCTGAATTTCTGCAGGTTATGTCAATTAACTCAGATAATCCTAAAAAATAACATGAGATAGATGTTATATTTATTATGCTGTTTTATGGGTGAGCAGACCAAGGCACAGAAATGTAGCATATCTAGTACAAAGTAACATGCCAAAGACTTAAAACTAGGATGTCTGGTCCACAGCCTAGTTTATACTAGGCCTATAATACTTCTCAAATTTATTTATAGTTAATACCTAGAGAAATACATGCTCTATGTTTATACTTTGCTAAATGTAATGCTCAAGATAAAACTGTCAAATATTCATTGCAACTGTTCATATCTTTTCAATAAATTAATATTTTATTAATCCTTCTACTTGCCTTAGAACTGAGAAAACCTTTGAAGAGGTGACATTGTGGAAATTACTATTATTTTCTTTTTCCTTTCTTTTGGGGAAAAATGTAGTCTTTACTGGGTGTTTTTAAATTGAATCCTGTGAAGAGTTTATAAATACTAGAAGAAAGCATCCTATTACGGGTGTCAGAAAACAAAGAGTGGTACTTCTAAAAGTTGTTGGAAACCCCATTATCAAAGCCCTGGTATGTGAGACTAGCTAGGAAAATACACTACCAAAATGACTAGCTAGGAAAATACACTACCAAAATTATATTAGAAGTCCTAGTTTCCTCAGAGATGTGGGGAGAAAACATATCTGAGGTTCATTTTATCCTAGATATATAGGGAAAGACCTCTACCATCAACTCCTTTTAGGTGATCAGTCAGGCATACATCTAGGCAAATAAGTGGGAATAGGAGTCTCCAGTCAGTTATTTGTATTTATATGTATTGTATTAATGTTGCATCCTACTCCAGTGTTTCTCAAGACCACCTACATCAAAGTTAGCTTATTAAAATGTATGCTTCTGGATCCAACCCCCAAAACTAAAATCTGAGTCTCTGGAGTTGGGGCTCAGAATTTGCATTTTAACAAGCTTTTCAAGGGATTCTTGTTTTTATTAAAGTCTAACATAAGGGAACACATATGTGCTCCAGAACATCTAACAGGCGGCAGGGCCAGCCACTGAGAATCCTTGCCCTTGGGGATGGAAGCATCATCTTTAATGGATTTGTATGATTTCCTCTGATTTGCCTATAATTTTTCATGTACAATTGTGTGTGTTTGTGTTGTGTAGAGATTTTTCTAGAGAGAGTGTTCTTAAGATTTTCAAGGCTTTATGGATACATACAAAAGCTAAGGCATTCTTGTTACTGTCTCTCTTATGCCTCCCCAATTCAGGATAAAAAAATCCTCAGATATTAGACAGAGCATTTAATTAGTGTCTTTTGATTTCTTGTAAGTGCTTCCTGGATGGCTCACAGTGAAGACTCTGCCTGAGATGTAGATGTGGGTTTCATCCCTTGGATGGGAAGATCTGCTGGAGGAGGAAATGGCAACCCACTCCAGCATTCTTGCCTTGGAAATCCCATTGACAGAGGAGCTTTGTGGGTTACAGTCCAAAGGGTCGCAAAGACCTTTTTACTTCTAAAGCAAACATTTCCATTGTTTCCCCCCAAAGTATGAGAAGGCCCCCAGTGCCCAGTCATCTCTTTTTGCATAGCCAGAGAAGGTCCTGGAGGACTGACTTTCTCTTCTGCCAACAAACTTGTGTGAAAAACATTTCCTTTGACACAGAAAAGAAACTGGCTTGTGTTCCTATATATCATATGTAATTTGTGAATATCTTTTTACATGCTGTTTATGCATATTTTATGTAGCACCTTCCAGAAGCAGAGTGTCTTTAATTTTTGTACATCTTCTGGGCACCTGGGTTAAATTAAAATGAACATATGGTTAAATAGTTTCTCACATGTCTTAAGCAGAGAAAGTGTATGAGAGGCAAGTTGTCCTCTCTACCTGTGATAACAACCTCAAGGTTTTGCATTTCAGTACCTTTCTGGAGATCATAATTGGGTGAAATATAGATGATATTCTGAGTGTCAATTGAGGGTCAAGAGTCGCTTCCCTTGGACCAAGGTCAAAGCCTAATGCTTAAGAACAACAACAAATGAAAAGGCATCAAGAAACCTGAATACCTGTGGAATGCCTGCCCAGTTTGAGCATGCGCAGAGCCCTGAGCAGCCTCAAAACCTGGACGATGCGCCCCACGTTTTCCAGCTCTTGCGTAGTCTGGCTCCCACTCAGGCTCTCTACCAGGAGAGTGATGTAGAAGGGCAAGATGGCAAGGAGGTCTATGATGTTCGGCACCTTCCTCAAGAAGCGGCACCTGTCCCTCACGCACAGGAAGCGCAGGACAAACTCCCCCGTGAACCAACTGATGCACACATACTCCAGGATTTCCAGCAGCTGCGGGTCCAGCCAGCTTAACTCGGCTGACATCAGGGCCATGTTGACGATGGACACCGCCACAAAGATGATGGAGATGACCCCAAAGATTCGGGCCGCTGTGCATGACCCAGGCTTCTCCAGGATGTTCCAGAGCTTCTGGCGGATGGTGGGGCAACGGCCCTGGGAGAAGTCCTGTTCACTCTCATGCTGACTCTCCTGGTCTTCTGTGTCCTTCTTAAAGTCTAACGTTTCACTCAGCTCCTTTCTTCTGAAGTATCTTTTAGGGAAGACAACCTGGTGATTAGTCTAACTTTTAAAAAATACTGAAGTGAAATGAGACTTGAACTCGGCAGTGAAATCATGCTTCTTAATTCAGTAACATGCAGATCAAGTTCATGCCATATTTTACCCAGGCCGTCTTTTCACAGGACTCAAATGTGAAAGATTATTGCTTTTAAAATGGTGCTTTTGTGGTAGAAGTTTATACAGAATAAATTATACATAGCAAAGCTACTTTAGATTAATGCATTTTACGACCTACTTTTTTCTTGTAACAAGAACAGAAGTTTGCAATAGGGTTTTTTTTTTTTTAATGAGGGTAATGGAAAGATATTCATGATGAAATGGTAATAATAGCAAAGTAATTGCAAAATAATAGATCACCAAAGTCCCACACTTATTCACAAAGAACCAACTTTCTGTCTTCTGGATTTAAAGCAGTTCTTTATCCAAGTCTTAAAACTGAAGCGTCCTAAGTGTGGTAAAGTACCACTCTCTATATTGTAACCTACGTCCCTTTAGGTGCATTTTCGGGAGCATACTTTTTGACTCATCTTTTCAATCACCAGACATTTATTGCAGGCCTGACCGCTCTTGATTACAAGTGAATTAGCATACCTTCACTAGAAAAAGCAGAAGGTTCAAAAAGTTCCATCAAAACTTGTCTTTGATGCTTTCCGGCCCCCACTGCCACCCTGCCTTCTTCTGGCTCCTAAACGACCCACAGGTAGTATTCTTAGGCCCGGCTCGAGCGAGGCTTGGGTGAAGTCTCCAATCTTGTCCCCGGCCGCCCCATCCCCAAGGCGCCCGCTCCCCCGCCCCGGCACCCACCTCCCCGCGCCCCCGCCCCCGGCGCCTCGCGGGTACCTGTCCCGGCAGCAGGAGTCAATGCTGAGCTCGTCGATGCCCCAGTACTGGATCTCCTGGAGGAAGGAGAGCGCGCACAGCTGCTCCATGACGTGCAGGCGGCCGGTGCGATAGTAGTGCAGGACGTAGCGGAAGGCTTGCGAGCTGCGGTCGAAGAAGTACTCGTTGTCCACGGGATTGGCGTCGTCACAGAGCTCCAGGGGGCTGGGCACGGCGGCCAGGGCCCCGCGGCGCCGGCACGAGGCCACCACCACGGCCAGCTTGCCCAGGCGCGTGTGCGGGAAGCAGGACAGCGCCTGCTGCGAGAGCACAAAGCGGCTGCCGCCCACGTTGACGGTGAAGCTGTCCCCGAGCGCCAGGGGCTCCCCTTCACCCTCGCTGCAGAAGACGCTGGAGTCCAGCGAGGTCAGGGAGGCGCTGTCCAGCGAGGAGTCCGGCGGCGCCCGGCCCCGGGGAGGCAGCTCCATCCTCGCCGCCGCTGCCGGAGAGCGCCTCGAAGTTGGGGGGGAGGGGGTTGGCAAGCCGGGATTTCCCGGGCTCCCGAGGGGGGTTCCTCCCACCCGCGAACCCTTCCTCTCTCCACCCGCTGTGTTGATTCTCCCTTTCGCCGCTAGGGAGCCTCGAGTGCGCGGGAGTCGCGCATCCGTGCCTGGGATGGAGACGAGGGGTGGCGCCCTAGGGAATCGCTCACGTGCGGACCAAGCAGAGGACAGCCGCCGGGCACACAGTTGGTCGCCGTGGTCCTTCTCGGACTCACTACCCGCTCTCCAACTTTGTAACTGAGACCTCCAGTGGAAGGCCTCGCAGCCGCTGGAGCGGGTGGGGAGGGGAAAGAGGAGAGAGGTCTACCGTGGAGGAGGGCTTGTCGAATCTTGAAGGAATGTAAGCAAGGGGGTGGGCGAAACTCACGCCCGCCTGCAGGGGACCAAAACGAAAAGTTCAGCAGCAAAGAAAGGGGTAACTGGATCTGGGTCTTTTCCAACTTCAAGATGTATATTCCTCCCTCTTCTTTTGCGGCGCGGCCTCATAGGCTTCCCGGGGAGGGGTCGCTGGAGATGTGCGCACGTGGGGGAGGGTGACCTGGGCGCGCGAGGCGCATCATTTGCTGGCATTCACTCTCAATCCAATCTGGGACCCTCCTCTCCTAATTTTTGACCTCCTGGTAGGGAAATGAGGGCAGTTAACGCTGACTTTTGATTAAGTCTCAGCGAGTCACTGCGAACCAGGGGTCGCAGTGGTCAGCTCCCATCACGTATTGAGACACTTTGCGCCCTTCGGTTCAGCCGAGTCTGTCCCTACAAGTTTCCTGGAGAGGAGGTGTTCTGGGCGCGTTTTTCGGCACACAGAGGAGCTGTCATTTTAGGAGAAGGGAAGGCAAAAAGACAAGGACTAGAACAGGCGTGGGCTGGGGCAGGAGTTTAAATAGGCACGACGACTCCGCAAAGGGAGAAGCCTAGCGCCGCGCCCAGGTGAGGCTAGGAGTGCATCCTCGGGGGCCCCCGGGAGTCGCGCCTTGGCCAACCTGTTGGACACGGGGCTGGAGTGGGGAGGCGGGCAGGGTGACTCACCTGCTGCTCCGGGCACATCTGGGTTGCGCTCAGAGCTCGCTGCTGGTTACGGAGCCTGGGTTTGATCCTCTGGATCTACACGAATCTGACTTGACAGGTCCGGGAGCAGAGCTGTGCTCGCCACCGAGTTCCTCTGGTCTCCGCTCGTCGCCACGCGCCTCGCGGCTCCGGCCCCGCGGCTGCGGCGGAGGGTGGCCGCCCCCGCCCGCGTTCCCTCCCAGCCCCCGGCGGTTCCCGGCGCCAGCTGTGGGGAGTGCGGGGAGCGGAGGGAGCTGAGACCGGAGGAGGAAGTGAGGCGCTCGGTGACTCTGAATATTACATTCATCCTGAAGGCACTTCAAGGATTCCTATATTAGATTCCTGGTTCCCTGAATCTGTGCGCTCAGGAATGCTAAAGAACAAAATTTTCAGCTGTGTAACTTCCCTAATCCTGCTAAATTCAGGGTTAGGGCAGTTATGTTAACTGCTTTGGGTGGCACGGTTCAAGGTTTTCCCCATTATTTTCAGCAAGCTTCTGGGAACCTTGCTTTTTTTTTTTTTCAAAAGTCTTTGCAAAAATGAGTGAACCATACTTATCTCTTTTTTCCCCCTTGTAAGTAGTTTTCAAAGTATATATAAGGAGATAAGCAGGCAGTTTGATGCAGTACAAAGGGCTTTTTCATAGACTGATCTAAAACACAGCTATTTAGTTACGGCTTTGTTAGCTGGCAGTGGGACCTCTAGCCAGCAAAGGCCTCAACACCTTCCTTAGTAAAAGTTCAAGTTTTAATTAAAAAATACTCAGTATTTACTGGGTGCTTACTTTAGGCCAGGAAATTTTTGTAAGCCCCTTACTCATCCAGTACCTTATATAATCATCATAACAATACTGTGAAGTAGAATATTCATTGAAAGGACTGATGCTGAAGCTCCAATACATTGGCCACTTGATGCAAAGAGCCCACTCATTGGAAAAGACCCTGACGCTCTGAAGGATCCAGGGCAAAAGAGAAGAGGGCAGCAGAGGATGAGATGGTTGTACAGCATCACTGACTCTATGGATATGAATTTAAGCAAACTGGGGGAGATAGAGACAGGTGGACAGGGAAGCCTGGTGGGTTATAGTCCATGGAGTTGCAAAGAGTCAGACACGACTTAGGGACTTGACTTAGTATATAGGTACTGTGAAGTTTTTTTGTTTGTTTGTTTTAGGGTAGTGAAGCTTTTCCCTTGCATAGAGAGAAAAACTTCTTCAGTATTTCAATTATTGATTGTTTGGGCATTGAAAAAAGCCTAAAGTTCTGCCTTATTCATCCCTTAGTGTGAATAACTTGAATCAAATGATTAGCAGTAGCTTATTCATCCCTTAGTGTGAATAACTTGAATCAAATGATTAGCAGGAGCAGTCTCTCATAACTTTACAGGTTATTGTGAGGAAGGGAGAAAACTGGCTGAGGAGAATGTCAGCTTTGGGTGAGAAGGGAGATCTTGGACAGGTGACCAGAGGTTAGCAAATGGTACCTGAGGCTCATGGGTTTCTTGCACTGCCACCCGGACCTTGGACTTCAGTTGGAATTAGTGGTGTCCTATGGAATTGTAACAGTAACCATCCTTAAAGTGTAAGCCTCAAGCTAAGCATCTGAATTCTCACAATGATTCCATTAAGTAAGTTCTATTATCCTTCCCTGCTGCATGCATTCTCAGTCGTGTCTGACTCTTTCCTACTCTATGGACTGTATGGGATTTTCCCAAAAAGAATACTGGAGCAGGTTGACATTTCCTCCAGATCCTGGAGGAGGTTAGACACAGGGATCTAACCTGTGTCTCTTGCATTTCAGTCAGATTCTTTACCACTGAGCCGTCTGGGAAGCCCATGTACTGTTATCCACAAATCTCAGCTCAGAAGCTCTCCCAGTTGTACAGTGAATGTGTAAAGGAGTATGTGGAGGGCTCTTTCTGACTCCAGATTTCATTTCAACTGCTAAGAACCAACATTTTCAATTGACCTTCAATATGACTAAAATGATTTCAACTAATTAATAGTCCTGATTATAACTAGGAAGATGATTACTAGTTAACTGGGAGTATACAAACACAAATGACCCATCTTAAAATATAGAGTCTCTTGGATAGTAAAAATCCCTGCCTTCCTCCATGGACTGACCCCTTTAATTTGTTATCTCTGCCCTCTCATTGATTGTCCAGGTTTGAGTCAGAGAGTTCAATGGAAAATATACAATGGGGGGCGGGGGGCGGTGGCAGGGGTGCGAATGAATCCATTCAAAGGGTGTCCCTTCTGGTCTCTGATCTTGACTCAACATATATTTTGAAGTATGTGAAAAAGTGAAAGAAGAATTGCTGCTAAGTAGTTGTGGGTGGTGAGGTCTTGCTTTCAGTTTTGTTCCTACTTAGCATGGGAGGAACATGATTGTCATGTAGGAGGCAGCACAGAACTGAGACATGAAAACTCGACAATCTAATGACTTTGGGTATATTTCCCGAGTCATCAGATGTCATATTCAGGTGATTCTCCATTAACAGTCTTGTGTGATGAAGTGCTCTACTGGTTTTTCACTTTATCTATCAAGTCTTTGAAATATCGATATGAATGTTGAATCTCCAGGTACAGCTTGTATTTTTAATTCTTCCAATTTTTATGAATATTTCCAAGTTTATTAATGAACAACATCCTTAATAGTCATGTTTTTAAATTGGATAAAAGAAAAATCACAAGATACCTTAAGCTGACAATTATAAAAGTGAAAAAGTCATTTGAAGCCACATTCAAAATGTCTATGATTACAAATCTAGAACGTTTTATCTAGGTTTTTGAAAAAGTAATGAGAATGTATATATATTAATGTTATATTCAGCTATTCTGTGATTTACTTAAATAATATAATGTTTCTGTGAAATTATTAATTATATTTTCTATGAATATTTGAAAAAGTTTATACATACCTGATCATACGTGATTGAAATATTTTTTAAGGAAAGTGTACACTTCTTATTAATTTATAGTCAAAATACTGCAACTTTATATATATAAATATCTTAATTAAACAGATAAAGGACATGTAATGACTGAAATACTTTTGAATTTTGAATGAAAGTGCTTTATTGAATTCCACTTAAGTAAATGCTGCATTTTTAATTTTCAACCACTTCACTGTAGACTTATATATTCACATGAAAATCCCTTTATCTTTCATTGGTAACACAGACCATATTTCATTGAGGTGTGTATGCCTAGCTTTGAGTTTGTTTCATTCCCTAGGGACTGACAACCAGATGAATTAATTGTGTTAATGATGTTTAAAATGCCTTTGTGTAAGGACTAAATTATTTTATCTTCTTTCCTTTCACTGCATTGGAATATGTTTAAAGGTAAAGGACTATCTGACAAATTCTATCTATTCATCTTTCATGTGCCTTGTGGGTCCTTGGAATAAATCCTCCCAACTGTATAACAGCCCACTCTAATGCAGAATTTAGCTTAATGTGGGCTCATTCTGGATTCTTTCCAAGGGGAGGCAATTATCTTTGGAAATACCCAAGAACTCATTTTTATAGCCTAGTCTGCTACAAAGATCACAGGATGGGTTGTTCATGGTGATGACAAGGATAGTAATATGATAATAATAGCTGCTACCTTTACTTATTCAACCTTTGCCCTATCTTTTCTTAGCTGTGTGGCATTAGTATGTTTCTTGAATCTTTTGTCTCATTTTCCTTATCTTACATCTTTCCTTATTTTACAAATAAGAGTGACAACAGTGTTCACCTTATGTTGTTGTTTTAAAATTAAATGAGATAATCGATGTAAATATGTAGTGCAGTGTCATTATTCTTGTTGTCACTTTTATTATTACACGATGTTGCAGGAATGTTTTTCTGACTTGCCCCGCCCCCCTGCTTACTGAGCACTTACTATGGGATAGATATCGTGGTAAGTGTTCATCTCATTTCATTTATTAATATAATTCATAGAACCTTCCAAGGAGGGTATTATTATAATCTTTAATTTACATATGAGAAACCAAGATCACGGCATTTTAATAACTTCTAAAGTGTCATGCTGCTGCTGCTAAGTCACTTCAGTCATGTCCGACTCTGTGCGACCCCATAGATGGCAGCCCACCAGGCTCCCCCGACCCTAGGATTCTCCAGGCAAGAACACTGGAGTGGGTTGCCATTTCCTTCTCCAATGCATGAAAATGAAAAGTGAAAGTGAAATTGCTCAGTCATGTCTGACTCTTAGCGACCCCATGGACTGCAGCCTACCAGGCTCCTCCGTCCATGGGATTTTCCAGGCAAGAGTACTGGAGTGGATTGCCATTGCCTTCTCCAAAAGTGTCGTACTGATAGTCAATATAGACTTGAACACATTTGTTTAATTCCAAGCCTTTGGAGGGCATTAATATGAAAATAATGTGTGATGGGAAATCACTATGAGAAATGTTCTTCTCCTCTTTCAAAATAGTTTTTATAAAGAGAAAATTTTTATTCTATGCTTCAAATAATTGAGAGATGACCATACTTTATATACCAAGACCAACAAACACATTGCCTGTGATTTCACATTTTAATACATTGGATCTTTCTTGTAACCATCATAAAGGAGACAGTTGGATTGGTCATTCAATGATTCTCACTATGCCCTTATGATATGCAAATGATACAGTTAAATTTTTCCTGGTTTACCAAGAAAATATAGAATCAGGCACTTATTGTTCACTGGATTAACTCCTATAATTACACTGAAATTAAACTCTTATAAACAAGATTTAAAAGCAGAGGAGCAAAAGCAAGTCAAGGGCTCTACTCATCAGGTGCTTTAAACTGTTAAGTGAACCTAATATTGAACTTGAAAATTCCAATTAATTCCTTTTTACTGAGCTCTATTGAATTACTTTATGATGATAGAGAGGTTGAGTCATACAGAACCATTAAAATCCATTTCTCATTGAGTATATGCAATTTATTAATATTAGAAGTAAAATTGCATTTGGGTTTATCCTTCTTTTATTTAGTGCTTTCTTTCATTACCAAGGAACTCAGGAAACCTGAATTCCATCCTTTAGCAGTAAGACAGCTAATCTTTGCAATCCATACATGTTATAAAGTTTCTATTATGTTGCATTTTCTTGATTTTCCCCGGAAGCAACTCAAAAAATTGAGAAGTTTTTCACTCAGTAACTATTTGTAGAAATATGATGGACAGGGAGGCCTGGCATGCTGCGATTTCATGGGGTCGCAAAGAATCGGACACGACTGAGTGACTGAACTGAACTGAACTGACTGAATTTTCTAAGCTTCAAGGGAGATGCTTATATGTATATACAG